TTGCTTATGAAAAGATAGCCTCAAGTCTTGGTCATCGAATGGTGAAAAACGCAAGTCTTGATGTTGTGTTCCCTTCGAGTTATTCAAAAAATAATGACCGGCTTTGCTTTTTGGATGTTAGCATTATATAACCTAATAACGGAAAAAAGATCTCATTCAAGTTTATTTTTTTCGAAATTTTAACTCATACCGTTAGCGCAAATCGCACATATCTGCGTGTTACTTGAATGAGAGGAAAACGTTTATCATATAAGAAAAATTTTCATTTGGTATTCAAGGAAGTATATAACAAGTATCGACCTATATGTGATACGTTCGACAAAACATGTGAGAAGAGAAAAAACACATTTTTGTTTTCCAGTGAAGACACGCGTATATATATAATCTCTAGTTGAACCTGAAATGATTGCATCATGTTCCCGAAGAGAAAGCCGGGTAAAACATATGTAATTTTACGTGCTCTATCTAATGAAATTAGATGTAGAACTTAGAATTTGGTAATTAAGTCGAAAAGCGAGTTTTTGTCTGAATTAAGTTTTTCTTGAAACGCGTATATTTCTGACAATACGCGTTTCCGAAATGTAAAACATTCAAATTCGGATAGAGCTTAAAATTTTATGTATACTGGTAGATTATCAGTATGTGATTGAGAGACACCTTTTCTCACTCAAATCACAAAATATAAAAATCGACTAAATGTTCCTTATATCGATGACATGATAGAAAAATAAGAACGTGTTTTATCATATGGGAAGAGAGAAAAGAGAGAAGAAAAAAACACATTTTCTCTTTTTCACAGTGAACACGAACTTATATATGCAGAACGGAAAAACCGCTCGAATGGCGCAAGAGTGAACCTTCTATCTTTTACCAAAAGAAACTAGATGGTTTTTTCCGATGAGGTCTCCACTTTGGAGATACCTTGAAGATGAATTTTTCGTGCAATGACATTACATTTGGGAAGGATAAAAGGCACATTTTCTAATTCGATTTTCATCGCTGAATTAGAAAAAAACTGTTTGAAAGTTTCAAAATAAAAAGGAGAAAAAGTGCTCAACGTTTTTTGAAACGGGGAAGTTTTTCGGCTTTTAAGACCCTTTCCCATATTTTCGATTTTTCGACGCGCAAACGTGCACTGGGAAGGCTAAAAAGGTGATATTGGTGATCAGCTTCAAATTCTCTATCGAATCATATATAAAGAAGCTAAAAGTAAAATAGTACTTGATTTTTGGATTACGCGCCCCTTACAATGGCATTAGTCAACAATAGATCAGCCTCCCATCTTGTTAAGTTTGCTTGTTTAAATTGTTTTCATATGTAGAACCAGCGTCGTTTTAACATTTAAATAATAGTAATTCATGGATAACTTTTTACAAGTTACTCTATATCATTAGCATAATTATTTCTATTACCAAGAGATAATGACAGAACTTTTTCCAGTAACGTTTGTAAATTTACACAGCATCAATAAGTAAATCAATCAGATTGATGCATTTAAGCTTTTGAATCTAGTACTTCCTCATCAGAAATGTTTTTGACGATGAATCAGTTCGAAAGTTCAAATAAATCAATTGTGAGGTTATTTCTTTCGGAATCGTTTTGCATCCAATGATTAATAGCCAAAGAAGAATGTAATCGTTACACATGTTTACACACAAAGAGAGTGTGACATTTTGTAACCGTCTCTGTATACTCCATATGTATCGGATAGTCTGAACTGGCCTCTGTCGAGCTGCACAGGTCTGAGGGCGTTGGTATCATCGTTGTCGACATATAGCTCAAAGTATCAATCAGTTTTTGAGCTATGATAACCTCGCAAAGAGTCGAACTGTGAATAATCCGCTACATTGACGAGGAAAGGTCCCCCAGTGTGCAATCGTTTTTTTCAAAATTCAGTGAACAATAGGTAATCGGCTATGCTGAATCCGAATATACGATCCGTTTCGGCCCTTTGACCTCCAGCGACCGGGTTTCTAGAAAACCATTCTTTCTGAAGCTCTAAAAGATAACTAAAACCTTTCTTAATGAGACATACTTGTAGCCCGGAAATTCCGATTAAAATGAGACATCTCCCAGCTCTGCACGACCTTTCTTTGCAAAGTTATAGAATTTACAAGAAAAGCCCTAAATGTTCAATGTCAGCTCAAAGCTACAGAAATAAGAAGAAATTAATTTAAGGCTTTTCTTGTAAATTGTATAACTTTGCAAAGAAAGGTCATGTAGAGCTGGTAGATGTCTCATTTTAATCAAAAATTTTGCGAACTACAATGATTTCTTCATCAACAATCTCTACTGAACGTAAATGTGATTTACATACGGCCGCAATTAACTGTATTATTCAGGATGGTCTTCCATTCGATACATTTCAACGTCCCGGTATGTCAAAATTTTTATCCACGGCTATTCCAGGCTACAAGGGGCCTCATCGAAAAACAGTACGTAATCGAATAGCTACTTTATATTCACATATACTGAAAAACTTCGTTCACTTATTCCTAAACTTGACTTGATTGCCCTTACATCAGATTTATGGAAAAGTCCACGACGTATTCATTTTATTAGTCTTACAGCACATGTTTTTAACAAAAATTATGAAAGTATACCAATTGTACTTGGCTTTCGTCGAATAATTGGCCCTCACACAGCAGGATCAATTGAACGCTATATAAAGTATGAACTCAATCGGCTTAATATCAAAAAAGAACAAATAATTAGTATAACGACCGATAATGGTAGTAACATAAAGAAGGCAGCATCATCACTCAAGTTTGGTGATCCAATTAGCTGTATGGCACATAATCTGAATACGGTCATCAAAAAAGATCTTTATCTTTGGATTGAACCAAAACCAGATGAGTAAGTATGATTTGAAAAGTAAATTTAAAGTAAGATTTTTAAAAGTATTTCATAACTTCTTATCAATTACTATGGTTTGAAAATAACTTCGAGTCAATGGACCGCAAAACTAATAAGTCCTGCCATTATTTGTTGATAATTTAATAATATGTCTTACTGACTACTCGGCTTGGCCAGCTAACGGTACACCAGAGTGCGGAAGTATGAAGCGTTAAATGAAGTGGTAAAACTAATCTTATGTGAAAGAGCACACTTTAAAGTGTAGGAAAATAATTTTCGTTTGTTTTTATTAGTACCTG